TTTTTTGTTAAGCCTGAAATGCTAAAATGCCAGTTTATACACTGTGAGTATTTCTGCTGATCATATGGTGGAAGATTTAGCTCTCTGAAAAGGCAGCTGTGCTATTCACCTGTGTAAACTGCTTAGGTACATAAATGATGTCCAAGCTGGGTCTGGACATGGAARGACCAAAACCTCAAATGTATTATAAAACTCTGCCTCGTGCCTGTGCAGGGGAAATTCATGATTCTTTAGATAGGAGCACTATAATGACAAWAATTGGTTGAAATATTTATAAAATAATCAGGTGGGCTTGCATATAACTTTTCATTGACTATTATTCAATTACAGGCTTGGAAGTATATCTCATAACGATGTTTTATACATTTATATATATGCATACATTTATCTGTCAGCAAAATGTAAAAAGCCTGATGATTCAGGAGGCAGAACTATAGTGATTTAAAAGGTCTTTTGTGTTTAAGTCTTTTTAATCTGGATTTTTTTTTTTTTACTGGTCAGTCTATTGTACATTTGAATTTTTTTCCTTGCATAATACATTGATTGTTATAATTTGTTAGCCAATAAAGCCAAAGTGATGAAGAATATTCCTATGCTTGTATGTCAAAATCTGCTTGGCTTGGCACTGTGCAACTCTACAATGTTATTTCTATAATACATATTCTTAATAAGATGTAATAAAGAGCATAATGATGTGGCCCCAGGTTCTCCAGACTACTTTTACTGCTTGACAGCCTAAGAAGGACCCCTCTCTCTGAGACTTGTGAAGGTTTGCTCAGCCAGAGTTTATTAAGGTCCACTTGTCCTCATTACCCTGCTGCAGGCAATTAAAATGAACATCTGATGAGCTGTGATGGATGAGGGCTGGATGCTCTRAAAGCTGCAGAAGAGCAGAGGCAGAGATGTCTCAACCAAAAACCACTGAGCACARGAAAGAGAGAGAGAGAGGGAGAGAGAGAGAAGATCCCCCTGCCTGCAGATCTCTTCCCCCAGTCCATGCTTGTCTCAGCCCACTCTTTRTTTTCAGATTGTTTTTAAGCTCTTTCCAGAAGTTTTTGA